TTCCGGTGGTGGTAGGGCAGATTCAACATCGAAATTGGTGAACTGCGGAATCGGGATCGTTGGCCGCTGCTCATGACTGTGCCATTGATATGGTCTGTTTTCAGTGTTTTGCGAATCCTGAGGGTCAAATCGGGGGCGCTGAGAAATCGGTGAATCTTTTTGCTGTCCACCATCGTAGCTATGCTGTGGGTCATGCCAGGGGCGCTGTGGCATATTTTTCGGGGCTTGCGCCATATCCTCGTGTCCCAGGGGTATCTTCTGCGGAGGAGGTGGTGGAAGCCGTTCAGGCTCGGGCGGGGACCGTATCGAAATTTGCACGTCTTGTGGTGGGGGCTGACGAGGTTCTGGCAACGGCGGCGCAGAGGCAGGGTCGTAAGCTACAGGTTGTAGGAAGACTGGCACCTCGATTGTTGTGGCTGACAGGCGAGATGAAGGTGTCTTCGACTCGGGTGACATAGGCTGGCCTGGTGTTTGATGATGAGGCCGTGGCTGAAAGGGTGGGGGTATCAGCTCTACGTTGAGATGGAACGCGGAAATGAGAAAGGATGGACTCACTGGCAAAGCTGGCTTTGCTGTTGGCTCTGAACCATGTGCGGCTTTCTGATTATATTTCACGCCCCACGTTGATGTGTCTGGAGGACCACTGTCCCAGGTAGGATTGACATTCGAGTGGCTAGTGACAGGCACAGGGGGATAGCCATGAGAGGTAAAAGGTACGTTGGCGAGTTGACTTGCAGGTGGAGCTGAGGGCGTAGGACCATGGGAGTGCCATCCTTGCAATGATTCTGCCGAATAAGGGGAATGATTCATCCACTGAGGTGACGTATGAGCTGGCGATCCAGGGAATAATCGAGGCGGTAAGGCCGGCGGTATGTCATGATGATTTAAATTCCAAGACGATCCTGCAACTCGAGTATGTTAGAATAAGGTCTTGGGGGCAGGTTGCAGTCAGTTACATACCATTATGGCTAGGAGAGGATTCGGTCGAATTCCAACCTTGAGCAGGTCCATAGTAGTACTTTGAAAGGGGTGGAAGCATGGGCCCTGTTTTGGAGGAAGGGGAAGGAGACTGCTGCTGCCCTCGATGATATTCTGGCATGATGCGCGGTAGCATGTATACGCGGGCATCAAGACAGCGACTTGAAACTTTTGCCGCATGGCTCTATGCGCACCCTTTGGCCTTGGGCCATCGCTCCTGCGCAAACTCCTTTTTGGTCTAGGCTGGTACTGGAGACGGTGAACAATGCGTCCCATGCCTTGGCGGCAAATGGCGATGGTTGAATGGAGTAACATGCAGGAGTCCTTACAATTCACTCTAGGGCACTGTAAGAACAGGATACTTTAGTATTTAGTAACCGGCGGCGTGAAAATCACAATCCTTCGACACAGCTCCACAAAAAAAGCTCTATCGAAGTAGAATCTGGTAGTAAACTTCGAACTCGAGATGTTGTTTCTGATCGTGTCTCAGAGAATTTCTTCTCAAAAGCGCTGATCATGGAATAATCAGGTAATGAAGTGATATCAATTTGGTTGTTCCAGCGCCAAGATTTGCTGGCACGCCGCTGAGAACTAAATGCCACCCCAATAGTAGCCCTGGAGAAGTGCCACTTACTGATGAAAGCACCTGCCATCTTCCATCCAATTCAAGCGCTCGTAAGCTGCTTGGCCCCCGTGTATGAGCTCAGAATTCCTGTCTTTTCCCTCAATCCACTTACCGTTACCGCGCATACAGACTGGCTCAGAACCTCACTCCATCTCAACATCCACAACAGCAGCACTTCCCACTTTCCCACTGGGGTGACTGAGTATCATCTCTCGAATGTCACCGAAACGTTTGACCAACAAGCCGAAAACCCCGCGATAGCCAAGATGCCAGGCTTTGCTGATTCTTTTTGGTCGGGGGACTACGCCGGAGGGCTGGGGGTCTTGTTTGGGAAGCTCCAACAGGGCGTTATAGAAAATCAGCAGGTTTTGACGATTGCAAAAATGCGAGCTGATGCAGAGGAAATGTACGGACGAAGACTGGGAGACATTGCGCCAACTACAGACAAAATGACGGGTGGTTTTGCTAGAGACGATGGAGCAAGCCTACGCAAAGCTTACGAGGGTGTGCGGGGGGAAATGGAAGAAGCTTCGAAAAGTCACAAGAAGATCGCGTCCAATATCAGCGAATTGGTTGTATTACCGTTCAGTCGATGGTGTGAAGCTCACGAGGGCCGCGTCCAAAGCTCTCAAGATGACCTGCAATCTCGGATGAAAGCACACGACAAGCAGGCCGAATATGTCAGGAAACTGAGAAGCGCATACTTCAACAAATGCCGCCAGCTGGAGGATTTAGAGGAGGAAAATAAGCTAGCTTTTCAGAGCCCTGAAAAAACTGACATGGCGAGCCCCAAAAGCCTGGCGACACCCATCATTAGATTACCTGAGGCCCAGGAAACCGAAGAGCAGGAGCCTTTAGAGATTGGAGATGAGACTTACGACCCTGAACGAATCAAGAAGATTTTGACCCATATGCTGAACACGATCAAGATAGGCGAAGCCAAAGTGCCTATTCTCGGTGTCTACCAGAATGTTTCTATAGGATCTGATATCACCGAATACATACAGAAACACATGGGTGCTACTAGTGTTAGTCATGCGGAAAGAGTTGGTCAGGATCTTGTCACGAATGGTTTTTTGAGATTGATAGGGGTTGTTGGGAGCACCTTCGCAAACAGCTCAAAGATGAACTATCAATGGCGGCCAAAGGTATTCCAAATGACAGGCATCCCAGAGAGAAAAAAACCTCTAGACCGAGTATTGTCGATAGCTTCTACCACAAACAGCGTCGAGTCACCTATCGTCGGATCTGTGGGAGAGATATTGTCAACTTGGAACCCTATGAACAATGCGCATCCGAATGAGACACCCGCAGAGAGGCTTCGCAGAGAATCAACTGAAGCTGACGAGCGATACAAAGCTAGTGTCCGCAGACTTGACGGTTTGCGCTGTCAGCTGGAAGAGAAGATGGTCGATAACTTGAAATTCATGGAACGATGCGAATTAGATAGGCTAAAGGCTATCAAGGCAGTGATCCTGGACTTCTCTGGAGCCATCAGCAACGCTATACCCAGCCTCCAGAGTACTGTAGACAACATGATGCTCTATCAAGAAACTGTTCAACCTATGGGGGATCTCAGGTATCTGCTAGAAAATTATCGTACAGGGGCTTTTGTACCACGGGTACAGGTCTATGATAATTACTATAACACAGTGGACGGTATGTTCGGAATAGAGGCCATTCAAATGACTGGTAAACACTGACCCAAATCACAGAGCAGACATTCGGAGTAGACCTGGAAGCCCGGGCACGAGCTGACAGGAAGCGTGTACCAATAATAGTCACCACGATCCTCACTTTCCTGGACAACCGTACGTAAAACCAATGAGATCAGAACTGCATCATCTGATAGAGTCTCCTAGATTACCCCGATCTCGAGGGAGATGAGGCCCGTCGTGGCATTTGGCTTGTTGATGTGCCCCTTGCGGCAACGCACCATCTCCGGAACGCCATCAACACAGGCAAAGCCATTCCGCGTGAGGTTTTAGAGAGATACGAGATACCCATCGTTGCAAGCGCATTGAAACTATACCTCCTCGAATTGCCCGGTAAGATTGTACAAACAAATCCAGTTTGTATCCAAAGAGACACGAATCTTGAAGGCCACTGCTAACCTGCATCATAGACTCCCTTGTTTCTTCACAGGTTTACGAAATTATAAAAACCATATACTCAACTCCCGACTCCTCCACTTCCGCTCAAACTCGGATTTCGGTCCTCCAGAATACCCTCGGCCAATTACGCCTTGCAAATATTGCCACCCTTGACGCCCTGACCACACACTTCACCCGCCTCATCGAGCTCACATCAGCAGACGAACCTTACATCTCATCACTCGCCAGCAATCTAGCACCCTGCATTCTGCGGCCTCGCTCTGAGAACTCACTGACCATGCACGAAAGACATTCTTACCGGCTCATACGGGATCTTTTTGCACACAAGGAAGAGATCTTCGGCGAACTCAAACGAGCATCCACTCTCTCGCATACGCCCAGTGGTGGCGCTGCTTCTAATGCTTCTCGCATGAGAGCCATCAGTACAGATGAAAGCAATCGCCGCGCTAACATGGAAGCACGTAATCGAGCAATAGCGTCCAAGTCGAGGAACAGCAGTCCAGCACCCCATGCGAATGGGCGGAGTCATCGGAGAGACCGATCCAGTGATCCGCCAGCGACCAGATTTCCAATCCAAACAAGCTCACCTACCGTTGGTGACGCACCTCGAAGAGGTGTACGAGCTAGCTTAGATGTTCCATCCGACGATGGCTCGTCGCCGGTGGTCGAGAGGCAAGCTAAGCAAAACAGTGTCAGCAACATGATCAATAACATTAACAATACCTCCAAGCCCATTCCTGAGGATCCACCTCAGGTTCCAGACCCCAATTATGAGAAAATTAACTCCAGCTATGTCCCATCATCAGAAGATACTAACGGCGGAACAACCTTCGCTGAAAATCGCGAGTCTTTGGGCCGGAGCAGTCGCTTCCCACCCAGGAAACAAGGGACGGCGGGAAGCTTGAATCGGTCTGGCGGTGGAAACAGAAACAGTTTGGAGACGGGGAACAGACATAGCCTGGAACCCGAAAGTGGTGCCGGAAATATGGAGAGGCATGGAGTTCAGTTGAGCGATAAGCCCATGGATGATTAAACATTGAAAGGCAATGGATGTGTGGGGTTGCCTTCGAGCCGGTTGACTTCACTGCAACAATAGCTTTGAACCGTCCACCTGTAAACCAAAGCACGGATTTGTAACCAAAGAAATCATTGAACAAGAGAGAGCCTGGCCAATGCTAGAGTCAGACTTGAATGAAGGAAGGCATGGTTTCAGGCTGAGAAATAATGCGGACTAGGATGCAAAACACCACATGCATGGGTTCCGCCCAACCACAACCGTTCATTCATTCCAACCCCAACAAACCTCTCAGGATGTCTCCACTCACTCCTTCCAGACAATTTTTGACCTCGCCTTCGTCGACAAAACTTACAAATCTCTTCTCCTCCCCAACATGCTTTCCCTTACGAGTCGGCGTGCCCTCTTTTCCATTCAGGCCACTTCCATAATTCTCTTCTCCCAAAAGCCCTAATGTCTCCAACCCTCCCAAAATGTCCACAAACTCCGTATTCGAGAGTGGATGTAGTGCGTCCTCTCGCTTACACAGTGTGCAGTAGGTCTCATAAAGCTTTCTTAGACTTGGCGCATGGGAAGATCTTGATGGCGTGGCAAATATTGAACTTGCTACTTTTCTGGAAGCTTTTTGGTGGTAGACAAGCGCGCAGAGAGCAGCTTTCTGTTGCAGGTTGAGCTTCTGAAGACGCTGAGAGATACCATTGCTTAGTGCAGCAGCAGAAACACGTGAAACGTGAGCGATAGTGGCACGAGGGGCTGTCAAAGGCGTGAGCGTTGCCAGGGAGGCGGCGAGGGTGAGTGAGCTGCCTTTGGGGGAGCAGAGGTTGGGATTTACGCTTAAAGGCGTTTTCGACGGAGGGCTTTGGAGAGCTTTGGCGGTGAGGTCGCTTTGATATTTTTGCTTTGTTTCGGTCTCGATGAGATCGATGGTGCGGCGAATTATATCGAAGGCTTTACGGAGATCACCGCTTTGAGACGCCGCTTTTCTTGAACAAAGCTGGATTGCTGCCGGGTGGAGAAAAGGAAGGTAGTCGACTGGCATCGTGGGATCCGGTAATGAAAGCGACATGAGCTTCGTAGTGATGACGGAGGTAATTTGAGGAGCGGTGTACGGAAGGAATGGTAGGAGCTGCGGTTTGAGATTCCTTGCCTTCAGACGTGGTAGAAAGCGGTCTGTCAAATCAAGCGCGTTCGCAATTCCGATAAGGATGAGGCGTGACGAGCGATGCAGCGACCATTGAAACAATGTGTAAATAATCTCCAAATCCAAAGTCAAGAGATGGTCGATCTCATCCAAGGTCACGATATAGACATGATCTGAGGTTTTTTCTCTTGGTATGAGCATTTCCCGCAGATGCTCCACCTCGTCGCAGTCGGCCTCATCATCGTGACCATCAAATTCTCTGATCAGCTTGCCATAAACATCCTTTGAGCCTTTCGCACTCATGCAGTTGATATACGCTGTCTTGACTCCTTGCGTTCCTTGAACGTCTCGACAGACTTCCCTAACAAGCGCGCTTTTTCCGGTGCCAGGTGGACCGCTGATATACATGCATCGGCCGGACTTGGGTTTAATGCCCTCCTCGATGAAAGTGTGCAGCTCGCTCCTCTCCTCTTCACGTCCTACTAAACGACCTGGGTTTGCGCTCCTTGTGAACAACTGACGCGCACAACTGTACACGGTTGGTGCATTACTTGGAGTGAACGGCGTCCGAGGTGTGTGTGGGGTCAATGGCTTGCCAACGAGACCGACTCGGTGACGAGGGGTAACGGGCATTCGCTTTGATGAAGCGTCTCGGTGTCGTGGCGTTTTGGGTGTTGGAAGCTGTACGACGTTCTTGTCTTCTACTGACAACGTTAGCTCCGAAGCCGTCCCAGACTGGCGCTGGACATACGTGGAAACGTGTATGCTTCTCTGTGACCATTGGCCGTACTTGGAGACAGCGCGACTCTTTTTCCGATCGCAGAGCGCTTGAGTGGACAAGAGCTGTTTGGAAGGTATTTGGAACTATCCAGCTTATCCAAATCCATGCCATTGCGCTCAGCATTGTCTCGGACATGGTGCATAAACGTTGGGTCGGCATTTTCATCGTTGGTGATTTGGATATGGGCTCTGCGCTTGACGCGAGAGGAGATGGAGGAGATGGCCGAAAATTCTTGGTAGCGTTAGAGAGACTGGCAATGTGGACGTTATGCTGCTGCGTACCTTGAGCTGACTCGATAGGTCTTGCACGCTTTCCTAGTACCGAAGCCATTGATTCTTTATCGAGGGGGTTGCTCTTGCTGCTTTGTGTCACTCGAAGTTGCCGTTTGAAGACGACACGATTATTTTGCGACGCGTCGAAAGTCGCGCCAGCTTTTCCGGAGAGCTAACCGATTCCAGCTTATCTTAAGTGCTCCGGAAAACCTGTTGTGCCGAGACACTTGTAATTTACATTACATGTATCAATTTTTGCGCAGTACGAACTTTCAGACCACCGTAGCACGGCCACGCTAGTCCACAAACATCTCGTGAACTTGTTTGTTGATTTCGATCGCGGCAAGCACCTCTCGCACGAATTTACCCACGTATCATACATAGTTGGGTTGGTAGCATAATGCCTCGGGTTGTGAAACCTGCACGCGCAAATCATAAAACTGCTACAACACCGCACAAACAAGCCAATCAATCGCCCTTAAAGTGAGTACGAAACATTGAGGTTGACAAGGGCGGACTAAGTTGAACCCTGTAGGATCCCCCTCAATGACGACCGACAAGAGAAGGCGGCGCGCCTTCAATCTCGACAAGCTCTCCACGATCTACAGATGAACTCATTGAAAGCCGCGGCTTCTCCAGTGCGAAAGCTGAACAATTACGACGGCGCAGCCAGTGACAGTCCCAAAACTCCTCGGACCCAGATAGCAAAGGGCAAGGAGAATATCGAAGATGGAGGTCTTTCGGTTGTTGCTGCCAGTGCAATGACACCGATAAAGCGAGTCCCGATTTTGGCGAACTTCGAAGAATGGATGAAAATGGCCACCGACAATAAGATAAACGCGACGAACTCCTGGAACTTTGCCCTAATTGACTACTTTCACGACATGTCGTTGCTTAAGGAGGGAGACGGTGTCAACTTTCAAAAAGCTAGCTGTACTTTGGATGGCTGTGTGAAGATTTACACGAGCCGAGTAGACAGCGTCGCAACGGAGACAGGGAAATTGCTGAGCGGCTTGGCGGAAAGTGGTAATAAAAAGACGCATCGTGGTGAAGAACAGGGTGAAGATGCTGAAGGTGGAGAAGACGAGGAAGACGAAGATGGCGTGAGAAAGAAAGCGAGGAAAAGAGTGCGCTTGATCTTGATGATTTGTCTTCGGATTGTGAAACTAACGGACAGCAGACACAACGTTCATCAGAGGCGACACTAGCACCATCCTTTACATCATTGCAGCTGAAGAAGTTTGAGCTCGAATTCTCTGTGGATCCTCTCTTCAAGAAGGCTTCAGCGGACTTTGACGAAGGCGGTGCAAAAGGCTTGCTTCTCAATCATCTAGCAATCGACTCCACTGGCCGGATCGTCTTCGACAGTAGCGATGATGCAGGAGACGCAAGTGCGGAAGGCGAAAGCACTAGGAGGAAAAGTGGCGCGGAAGCAGGTGAACATGATGCAGATACACCTGAGGTCGGGATGGAGCAGCCAGATATACCAACCAACGCTAAGCAGAGCGATATCGACATCGATGCCCTAGGAGTCAAATTCTTTCCCGACCTAGGATCATTGGATGAACAAGATATATGTCCTTCGCTGAAGAACCTCGACCTAGGCAATCCGGTTGGGTCTTTAGACATTCCGTTTTTGAAAGCACCGGAAGACTGTCGGCAAGAGAAGCAAAACCCTGTATCTGGGGGCCTCGGCGATCAGACTGGCATATTTCTTGATGGCGACAACGTTGCTGGATTTGAAGATGATGACGGGATTCTTGGCGGGTATGAGGTCGGTGCCGATGCCGGCTTTGGGGAAGGGGGTGAAGCATGGGCGAAGAACGCTGCCATTGACCCTCAAATGTATCTTGGAGACATAGGTTTCGAAGAAGCAGCCATTGGAGTAGGCCAAGTGGGAGAAGGTGTAGGGGTTGGCGACTTCGATCCTGACAACAATCAATACGCTGTATCCTTGCACCACAAGAAAATGGAAGGGGGTCACGAGGATATTCTCAATTATTTCGACAATGCATTGCGGAAGAATTGGGCTGGACCAGAGCATTGGAGGATACGGAGGATTAAAGACCTCAGTAAAGCTTCTGCACCAGCTCAATCGAAGCGGAAAGAGAAGGAACCCTTTGAGATCGACTTCGCATCTCCCCTGAGTCCAGCTCTGGCGGAGATGCTGTATACCCCGGCGAGTTCCAACGCGGCTATCTCCTTGCCTAAAACGCAATGGAAATCTAAGACGCGGAACCTCCTACCTGATGACAAGCACTTTAATTCGCGGCAGCTCCTACGACTGTTTCTCAAACCTAAAGCGCGGATGGGCTCGCGAAGATATGGACCGAGATGCAAGGGTCGGACGACATCAAGGCAAGAAGAAGTACCGGAGAATGAAGTGGACGAAGCGTTCTGGGCGCGGAAGGAAAATGTAGCAAATCAGGCCTCGCCGGACGAAGAAGCGCCACAGGGCAATTACGACGCCAATTTCTTCCAAGACGATGGACTTGGCTTCCCCAATGGTCTTCCAGACGATGATGAGGAGTTTGCGGACGCTAGAGAAGCGTTCTCGCCAGCTTTAGGAGGTGATGCTGGGGTCGGAAGCCAGGGCATTGCAGGTGCCTTGACCGGCACTGAAGAAAGCCAGGAAGGTGCTTTTGGGACGCAGCTTGTGACGCAAAGTCGACGGCTACGGCCAGAATACGTGCAGTATGCCCGTGTAGCGAAAAAGGTTGATGTGCGAAGATTGAAAGAGGAGATGTGGAGAGGCATTGGATTCGTAGAGGTCCGTGGTTTCTGTTCTTATCAACGGTCGATGTCTGACATTTGCGCAGAATCCCTCTCAAGCACCCGCTCCCTCTGAGCCTCCAACGAAATCTAACGAAGCCCCCCTGAAGTTCACGTCTGTGATGAATAAACTTCAGCAAGTGTATCCCAAGCAAGCCATGGCTGACATTTCGACGTCTTATTGCTTTATATGTCTCCTGCATTTGGCCAACGAAAAGGGACTCACATTAGGCAACGAGCCAGGCCTGGAGGAGCTAAGTATAGAGAAAGACTTGACCGCTGAGATCACTGAAGGTGACTAAGAAGACTTGTGATGCTTCCTGTTAGTTGTCGTTAGCGACTGGCGTTTGGGACGCAATTGTGGGCGGATCAGATGGATTTAAATGTATGCTTGTCGATGACACGGAGCCAGATGTACAGCAGATATCACAATGACTGGACTTGACGGGATGGTGACAAGCAGCAATGCTTGCTGTTACAAAACTTGAAGTTTATCAGTCTCGTCACTGTGAGGCTCTGCGTACTATGTGCAAACCTGACCAGTAGGCAAGATAAAATAATGATATAATTGGAGATACGGCGGACGACGGCTGACACTACGACAAAACCAAAAAAAATCTTTTTCGTTTTTTCTTCGCGATTTCTAGTAACTCTCTTCAAAATATTCTTTTAAGAATATTCTTAACTCTTCGAAAGGTACTTTTTAAGGCACTCTTTAGGGGATACTCTCCGGGATACTCTCCGGGGTACTCTCCGGGGTACTCTCCGGGGTACTCTTCCGGGTACTCTTCCGGGTACTCTTCCGAGTACTTACGACGGATAATTCGCAAAAAAAAAAAAAAAAAAAAAAAAAATTAAATTAAATTAACCGTATACTCGGAAGAGTACCCGAAAGAGTACCCGGAAGAGTACCTTAGAAAGTACCTCGAAGAGTACCCGGAAGAATACCCCGGAGAGTACCTTAGAAAGTACCTCGAAGAGTACCCGGAAGAATACCCCGGAGAGTACCCGGGAGAGTACCCCGGAGAGTACCCCGGAGAGTACCTCGAAGAGTACCCGGAAGAATACCCCGGAGAGTATCCGGGAGAGTACCCCGGAGAGTAGCCCCTAACGAGTGAGAGAGTTACTAGAAATCGCGAAGAAGAAAAATGAAAAGAGAATTTTTTTTTTTTTTTTTTTTGGTTTTGTCGTAGTGTCAGCCGTCAATTTCGCAGATATTATACGAACTGTAAAAGCTTCTGACTGGATCTCACTATCGCTGCGATTCTAACGTTATGGAAACGTCCATCTGGAATGGACTATATTCTAGATTTATCACATTGTTCTTCCTTCATAACTTTCAGATACTGGAATAGAGTCGTATTCTGAATCTTCTGTATGTAATGTTTCCACTATATCCTCTAACGAATATACCTTAACGTCACTTGGTTTTTTACAATTTTTGACATACGCTAAAGGCAATCAAATCGAGCTCCCTAGCTGCTGAAAGTTGAAGGAATGCACTTGATCAGCTTATGAGTAAAAAGATCTTTGCAAAGGTGCTTCCATCATGGGTCCTAGTCCTGCTACAATACCGCGTTTCCTGCTACCGCAGCTTTCGTGGAAGGCTTCGAGCCCCTCACCTTTGGCTGTTGCGTCTCGAATACATCCTCCTACTAAGGGTTCCGCGCCTCGGAACAAGCCCACCCGCTTTGTCTCATCAATAGCACGGAGATATAAACACAACAAATACACCTTTTCGCCTTTGGTTTCTAATCGCCAAGGTCCACCACTCGCAAGATACTCCTACGTTCCACATAATCACCCGCAATGCTTCTCAACAACCCCAACCCGCTTTCGCGACCATCACTTCGACACTTTGAAATTTGTGCAACGTCTTAAGGATGAAGGTTTCTCGGAGGAGCAGTCAAAAGCCATGATGCTCGTGCTTTCAGATGTCATTGAAGAATCCATCCAAAACCTAACGCGCACCATGGTCCTACGAGAAGGTCTCCAATTCTCCAGTCCGGAGCACCTGCCAAGCCGTCACTAACACTCGCAGATGCCGATCGAAGTACCTACACACAAAAGGTCGACTTCACGAAACTTCGCTCCGAGCTCCTGGCCCTCGATTCTAGCGACACATCCATGACTCTGGCCTCGCATGAACGACTGTCTAATGATCTGGCGAAGCTCAGTTCCAGACTTCGTGACGAAGTGAACCGTGCTCAGGCAAGTGTAAGACTAGATTTGAATCTTGAGAAGGGTCGAATCAGGGAGGAAGCCAAGGGACAGGAATTAAAGATCAAGGAGACAGAGACAAGGATAGAGCAAGAGGTTGCAGGCCTCAGGGAGAGGGTGGAAGGGGTCAAATTCAGTACTTTGCAGTGGCTAATGTAGGTCACCAATCCAAGACAATGAGAGCGATAGGGTTATCACGAAATGCACGGCTTACGCTAACTATCTATTAGGGGTGTATGTACAGGAACAGCTGCACTGATCCTGGGTGCCTGGCGTTTGCTCATGTGATGTGCTGGATTAGTACAGTGATATAGGGTTAGTGCTGTCAATGATAGTATGATCACGGTGAACTCAACAACGTGCAATGATTTTCGCGATTTTTGCTAAACCAAGGAATTTACCCTGTTTTGCGTTGATGGTGGGTGATGTCGTTGGGCAATATCTGGAGACTATATAGCGGAAGGAAATGCCGTGGCGAATAACATCTCATGGGCTTTTAATTGGGGGGTTAAGGACAAAAGCTCCGGATAGAGCGAGAAGATCTCAAAGAGCTGGCAAGAGAGTACCGGGTGAGAATGAGATGCTTTGACCGTAGAAGTAATCACTTTTTTGCGTAAGTCAAGCCACTCTTGGGCACCGCCATGCTAGAAGAGAGCCAGAGAAATCTGATATCCCACGTTCTATACTCTATTGTCATTTAACCAAGCTCAATGAGAAGCTTTGACAAGTCGTCGTTATCAGTCTCCTAGCACGATGACTTTTACTTCGACCCGTCCCCCCTTTCCCTCTACCTAAAGATCGAATAGCTCTTTCAGAACCCTCATTGTATGGTCCGGATTATCAACACTATGCCCAACCGTCCTGCTATCTTCGAAGATCTCATAATCATTTCCACCCTGGTATGTTTTGTCACCGAAAAAATGGATGATCGAGTAATCGACACCACTGAGAGACTTCTCCGTCTCTAGATGTTGCAGGCAGTAAGTCTTGTCCCAGCCAGTGGGAAATACATCGAAGGAAATTTGTCCGCCGATTGAGTAGCTATAACAGTAGATATCAGCCTATCTACAAAAGTGGATAACAGCAGAGGCCAACGTACGTAAGGCCGAAGTCACCGAATTTTTCTTTCAAAGCTTCGACGAATTTGGTACGGATCTGATGCTGTTTGTCGTACTTTTCATAGTCGTTGCGCTCTTGGATGCTGGCGTTACGGCCGACTGGTGAGACGTTGATCATGCCACTCCTTCAGTGTGGCCAAGCATAGCGTCAGCGTGGGTGAATAGGTTGAGAGGATGTCCCCATCAATAGAATCTGCCTAGGCGGGCACGGCAAGCTGCATCACCACGTACCTGAATTCAACGAACGTTCCAGTCTTTACCGGACACTCAATGTCCGCAATGTACCTCAGACAAAAGTTGACCAATTGCTTGTACTTTTCTTGGCCCAGCCATCCGATGAAGCTATTGCTCGCCAATTGCTCCCCCAACCTATACGCCGTTAAGCCATTCTCAGCGAAGCAGAAGTCGAAGAGGCCAATGACGGGTATGGAGGGCGTTCCGAGCTGTTCTTGCTGTTTGACAAGGTTAGAGCCACCAACGAAGCCTATAGCGCATTTGTGACGAAGGACGGACAGGAGTTGGAGCATCTCGGGAGAAACACTTTGGCGGGCGGGGGTGAGGGTGTTATCGACGTCGAAAAGGCATATTGTATCCTTGATGGGACGACCTTCTAAGGGAGGATAAACACTGGCTGCTTCGGCGTACATGGTAATGGTGGGGAGAAGGTAGGTGTCTCCAGCGACGAGGTGAAGAGATGAAGAGGACTGGTACAGATCAAAAGAGGCGTACGTTAACCTTACTTAAGATTTGTCTGACAAGCGGAAGGAGCCGAGGAGGCTAAGGTAGCTTGCACTTTAACACTTTTGCAGGTTTTGCTGGGGCGAAGTGGGGCAATGGATGGACGGGCCTGAACCTGAAATCGACCTCGGCTTACCTACATGTACCCAAAGTACTTTCTTTACCTTAGGGCTTGAAACCTACTTGTACGTACAAGGGTATTCCCTACCTACTCCCTTAATGAACTCGAAGAGAACTTAAAGTGCGGAAATCTACCTATGCAGATTAGTATCACTGCTCTCACTTAACTCATCCTGGCGTCGAATTGTATGACATGAGGAAGACAGCCGTTTCGATTAGCGAAATATACGTACTCGTACTCGTTACTTGTACGCTATGGATCTACTTTGAGCCGCCCGGCATCGGAGACGTGCGAAAGTCCGAAAATGACCCTATCATCGCAACAATCGAAGTAGCCTGCGCTTTAGGTTTTAATGGCTCTCCGGTATTATTCCCAAACGAACGGGCTGCTTTCCTTCTGCGACTGACAAAGGATCAGAACTCACCTCACCTTTCCAATCTTCTTTCCTTTCCCATACCTCTACCATCCACCATGAAATTTCCTACCCTGTCTCGCACAAAGCCTACCAGACCCCTCAACGGAGAGAACGATACGCCAGCCCTCGCAGTCGTTCTGTCGAGTCAGCACACGTCTACGAGTCAGAAAGAAGAGGAAAGAACGCTCTTCCGCCCCTCTTCTAGGCAGAATTCCCAATCCGGGGGCGAGAAGAGGTACGTGGAGACAGCGCCTCTGGACGAGGCACTAGCAGCAGACAAGCTTTCAGATGAACCAGAATATCCTTCTGGGGCAAAATTTGCCATTATAATAGTCTCACTATGTCTTTCAGTGTTCCTAATGGCTTTGGTGAGTCCCAGCCCAACGCATGGTCAGTGGGTGGGATATTGATATTAACCTAGGACAACACCATCATTGCTACTGCAATCCCAAAGATTACGGATCATTTCAAAGCTCTCGATGATGTGGGTTGGTATGGGTCAGGTAGGCATGCACCTGTATTACATCAAAGTCTTACACTAATCCACCCCTCCCCCAGCCTACTTACTTACCGAATGTGCTTTACTACTGCTCTTCGGCAAATTATACACCTTTTTCAGCATCAAGTATGTCTATCTGACTGCGTACGTATTTTCGGAGCCCATATTTCCCCTTTCGGAGCAAATCTTGAGTCTTGAGACACGTTTCGGGAGGCTTTACTCTTGAGACATGTTTCAAGGCTCGATAAACCTCCTCAAATAGGCAATACTGACAGCGAAATTGTGATCCAGTATATTCATCTTCGAAGTCGGTTCAGGTAAATAGTCTACTTTCACTTCGACATCTTCAACCACCATACTGAATACCATCCTAGTCATATGTGGTGCAGCACCTACCTCTGTTGCTCTTATCATTGGTCGCGCAGTTGCAGGGTACGTACATTTCTGAGCCGATTATTCCCATTGGTATTGGAATTGAGTCGCAAAACATGTTTCGGGAGCAAGAGGGAGGACCTTTCTACTCCCGAGATCTGTCCCGCAATTCCATTACCTACCTCGTATAAACAATGCTGACTCCATAATCTGTGCAGCGTTGGAGCTGCCGGGATATTTTCTGGTGCTCTTGTCATCATAGCATACGCTGTACCACTAGTGAAAAGGCCAATCTATACCGGCTTTATTGGTGCTATGTATGGTTTGGTATGACTTCACTCCCCTCTATCAATTCTTTTTGGAACTTTCGTGATCCAGATACATGTTTCATGACTTCAATTTCCGTCGAAAAAGAGTAATTGCTGACGGGAGACCCTATCAGGCGTCAGTCGCTGGGCCTCTAATGGGGGGTGCTTTCACGGACAAAGTCTCGTGGAGATGGTGCTTCTACATCAATTTGCCCCTTGGAGCGGTGACGATTCTCGGCATCGCACTCTTTTTCACTTCACCTCCACGTGAACAGGAGAATTCAATTGGCTTTTGGGAACGCGCGAAACAGTTCGATCCTATTGGAACCATTCTCTTCGTGCCTTGTATTGTATGTCTCCTGCTCGCGTTACAATGGGGAGGGTCGAAATACCACTGGGGCAATGGTGAGATTTGCCATTTTCAGACTCACTTTATTATCTTGGTTCTATTTGGCTGACCCATTTAGGAAGGATCGTTGCGCTGTTTGTCGTCTCTGGAGTGCTCGGTATTGCTTTCGCTGGCGTACAACTATGGAAAGGGGACAATGCAACAGTCCCACCCAGGATTCTCAAGAAACGGAGTATAGCCTTTGGTTCTTGGTTCGTCTTCTGCTTGGGTGGTTCATTTTTTCTCCGTACGTTTGATTCCGACCATCCAACCCTCCTTTCGCTCCTCACATCTGTCACACAATTTAGGCTTGTAGGCTCAAACAGAAACGTTTCTGGCAGCGAACACCCCCCTCCACTCCTCACATTCTTCATACAGCTCGGTTTCCTTTCTAAGGAGAAGAATACTGACTAGATCACGTAGTGATCTACTACATTCCTATCTGGTTCCAAGCTATTAAAGGCGTGTCAGCTGTTGAATCTGGTATCAGGAGTCTCCCTATGATCCTTGGTCTCGTCATCGTATCTATAATATCTGGTATTGCTATCACTATAATGGGCTACTACACTCCGTGGATGATTATCTCATCCTTGCTTATGGCCGCGGGTGCTGGTTTAATATCCACGTTCAAAGTTGGGTCCGGCCATGCCATGTGGATCAGTTTCCAAGCCATTTATGGATTTGGTGTCGGCGCTGGCATGCAACAAGGGATCATTGCGGCTCAGACGGTGTGCACTCTGGAAGATATCCCGACAGCAACAGGTACGTTTCAAGGCTCAACATACCCTATCAAATAGGCAATACTGACTCCGGAATCTCAATGCAGCGATCATGAATTTCTGTCTCAATCTTGGGGGCGCTCTTTTCATCGCGGTTGGGCAGAACATCTTCACAAATCGTTTGTCTACAAATCTTGCCAACAATGTACCGATTCTCAACCCATCGATCGTCCTTAACACGGGGGCAACGAGTCTGCGAAATGCCGTTGGTTCAGATAGCCTTGAAGGTGTCCTGTTCGCATACAACGATGCACTAACACATACATATTACGTTTCTGTCGCTATGGCATCATTATCTATCGTTGGCGCGCTCGGCATGGAGTGGAAGTCGGTAAAAGGGAAAAAGATTGAGGGTGCTGCAATTTAAAAGGGCTGGTTTTCCCCAGCAGTGTGTTGCAGGTGTCTCAGGTATGATTTTGATCAAGGTATAGAGGATCCTAGCAGCCACGCATTGTTATTGCGTGGCCTTAGAAGACAGCATGACTGCCAAGGGTTTACCGGCAGCACGGTGGACAGTATATGTCAGCTCTTTTGAACAGCAGTAGCTAGCTAGACTTCTTCAATCAATAGATGTATATACAACAACACAGCCATCTTGTCAACATATCAAGTCACCAATAGTCAGTTGCCCAGAAAAGAGATTTGCCTACTCGTACTTCCAAGGCGGCAATCCGACGAAAAGATCATCAGTCTTCTTGCGAACCGGTTATTGCGTCTGTTTCCTCGGAGTTCACGATTTCTAGAATTGGTACCTTGGAGTTACCTAGGCTCGCTAGGTCTAGGTACCTACCTTGAGGTACCAAGGTAAGGCACCTTAGGCGTGGTGCGAGCTAGCGCCGGAGCAGTGCTAGCCAACCAGATGGCCCACTGGTCCAGAAACCAACCGTCCTCCTTCCGAGTTTCTTCGTTCTCACACCGAATACACCAATCACACCACAGCATGTCTCTTCTTGCCGCTGTAATCGGAACAGGCCTTTTCTTTTGGAGTAATTGATTCATCGTACTTTGTGGAGTGGGGGTGGGGGTTCTCTTTTGCACTTCATTCCTTGCAACATCTTTTATTGCAGCATCAAGAAGGAAACACTCCTTTCTTCTGAAAATCGCCTGGCCAGGTTATGACCTTTTGCCTACGAGATGGATTTTGGAGGAAACAATACCTAGGGTAATTGCTCTAATGAAGTGGGATTGCCCAAGAGTAATCTTTAGCATACATTATGCATGACACTTGCTTCCCGGGCGCCTACGCTCTATTCCTGGGGCTTAGCTTATCTACACCTCGGCCTATCACACCTTCCAAAGCCCTTCCTCTGTCACTCTGAGACTCATTCTTAGGGCTTCGCGCCCGTGCTATTGATATTACCCTGCTCAATTGCTCATTGCGATCAAGCCCATCATGACACCACCTCCAATCTCCTAATTATGGGGTCCAGAGACTGAGACCCAGCGCTTGGAGAAACCCCCCAGCGTATCCGCCCTCGTCACCTTCCAAGCAGGCCTCCTCTCCTCTTGTTACACCTTGTTACGCCTTCCTTTACCCTTCAAACCGGCGACTCTCTCAACAGCTGCATCTTGCTGACACCATTCATTGTCCTCTTCAATCGATCTTGAAGAGGCAGATTGTACTTGAAAAAAAACTCGCTCTTGAGCATCTCACGTTAGCCGCACTGTCGCTTAGCATGTCGAACGTCCAACATCGAACTTACGATCCAGTATCTCCTATAGAACCTGATCCTAAGCGGTCACTGCCGCAGCGAGCCCTCACAAACGACAAGGTCAAAAACAGTCAAGTCACTGTCCGTCCGAGGACGTCGTCAAGTTCTTCGTCCGGACTTTCGATCAAGACGCCTAGGACAGCACGCTTTGCGGAAGCAACATCTGTCAACTCACCCATCGGTCCTAGCACAGCTGGGCCGTCACCTTTCGCCAATCCTCCACCTACGACTCGCCACCTCATGCCTCAACTACAGCCCTCCGACGTGGGCTTCGGCTACATGGCCGACAATCAGGCTTCTAAACACTCATCTTATGCGGGTGTGGAAGTTCCGCTGACCCCAAACTCACCCTTGAAGAGTGCCTTGAAGCCCCCTGGGACCCCTGGACGACTTGCGAATCCACTCAGCCCAACTTTCCATGAGGAGCAGATCTTGGAGAAACACGAAGACCATACAGAGAAGGAAAATGCAAAGGACTTGGTACAAGATTTCATGGCAGATCGCTGGACTACATGCTGACTTTGATTTCTAGAAAGTCAAAACCCGGGTCCGAATGGCCAAGATGTGTCTTCGAGTAACAAATTTCAGTTGCAGTCTCATCGTCTTATCTATGCTCTCAACTACTTTTACAATATTCAATACCACCAAATCGCTGCCTTTGAGGAGCAACCTCCCTGCTTGGGCTCCCAACCAGAAGACATGGCCGCAAATCACCCTGCTCAGCATCTCGTGCGTATCGCTGGCGTTCTCTCTCGGCATCTTCTATGCATACTGGCGAGGTGGTCACAAGCGAGCGCAGAAAGCCGCAATCTATTATACCGTCTTCTCTATAGCTTTCTTCACATTCAGTATAGTCATGTGGGCTATCGGCGCTGCAATATTGAATCAAAGCAGGAAGAGCGGGGGTGGCAAGGATATGTGGGGATGGTCTTGCAAGGATGGCAAGCGTAAGGATTTGTTTCAGCAAGACGTCGACTATGCTTTGATATGCAGACTTCAGGTATGGAGCTCGCTGATTGATAAGGAATTCTATGATACTGACTTACGCCTGTAGAACTGGTCGCTGCTTTGCGCTTTTATCGAGATCATTGTCGAAGTTCTCACCATCAGCATTTACGCCATCGTCTTTTATCGCTTTCACTCCAAGCGCAGGCTCGCCAAATCAATGGATTTGCGTGACAAAGCTCGCTCTGATCTTTATCTTGCTCAACTCAGGAGTCAATCTGCGCCCAACACCCCTGGCTTCCAGAAGACTCCCATGACTTCCACGTTTCCGGCGCACATTCATGATGATCCGATCGATGCGGCGGAGAATGGTGAACATTACAACGAATCCACCCAATTCGCTTCGAAACACCAGTCATTTTCCCAACCGAAGCCATTCAATCTACAGCCGCCCCCAATCAAGGTTCACTCTGCCACTCCTGCTCTGTCCCAGGATGGGTTTGAGCCAGCGCCACAGGTCCAGGAGCATGTCCCGGCAGCGCCAGGCGAGCAAACATACGATGCAGTGCCCATACCAGGAGCGTATGCGAGCCCGCTTCAAAGTCCAGGCTACCAACCACAGAGCATGAATTTTGGCAGCGAACCGGGGCAGGCTTACACGACGGAGGGTCGGGTAAGCCTGGAAAGCCCACCTACCAGTCCTCGGTTGCGGCACAGTACTTTACGATAGATCTTCAAGGAGACCAAGAATCAGGAGTTTACGGGATTCTCTCTTCATCAGAATCTATACCATTTTCTTTCATATACCGGAGGTGGTGTTTGACTGGGGTTCATGAATTTTGTAAATCTGCCAAAGAGAATATATCATATTACCCCCATACTTAGTTCTTTGAGTGAATATGTTGGAGGCTATAGATGCAGACAGTCATGTTGGAAGCATGAGAGCTTATCGTCTTGTCAAACATTAATCAAGTGATAACGCTAGGGTAAAGGCGTTTGTACAAGTAGAAATGAAGTCATGCCGATCGACAACTCTTGATCTCTGCATCCTCCTTCCCTTGAGGTGTACGAGTACTCATCGCTGACCCTTTCCACATGTCCATTCAAGCGTTTCCAATCCAAAACAATCCTCCCAGAAGGTTAAAAGATTCAGTTCCGTTGGAGCGTGTCCGCACGAGAGCAACTCTGCCCTATCGCAGGACATACGTCTCGCGGCCAAACCCCAATCAAACCCTCAAGGTCTGGCCATTCGTCTTCATTTTCTTCGCTGGAACAGGAGCCTACGTTTACATGGTCAAGACCCGCGCCAGCGAGCCCCAAAAACCCCGTGGCCCCTCTGTGACACCCAAATAGGTTCAGTATCCGAATCTCGCATACCATGGCACCCACCTCACCCCGCCTCTCGGCCCCCAAAAAGTCTACCCCCGCCTTCTCGCCGGACAAAACGTCGGTAATCTACGTCCTGGGTGGCCCAGGTGCTGGGAAAGGCACTCAGTGTGCTAATTTGGTCCGAGACTATGGCTTCACACACCTTTCTGCTGGAGATCTGCTACGGGCGGAGCAAGATAGGGAAGGCAGCGAGTTCGGAAGCATGATCAAGGAGTACATCGCTGAGGGAAAAATTGTGCCGATGGAGGTGACAGTGCAGCTTTTGGAGAATGCTATGATGGATCAGGAGAAGGGAAGGGGGCGATTCCTGATTGATGGTGCGTCTACACTGTCGAGTCTACATGAGGTGATGAAATAACCACGGCTTATCGACGCGCAGGCTTCCCTCGCAAAATGGACCAAGCCATCCGCTTTGAAGAAGCCGTGTGCCCCTCGAAATTTACCCTCTTTTTCGACTGCCCCGAAGACGTCATGACCGAGCGTCTCATCAACCGAGGAAAGACCAGCGGCCGTGCTGATGACAATGCCGAGAGTATCAAGAAGCGGTTCAAAACATTTGTGGAGACGAGCATGCCAGTTGTGGACTACTTCGAGAAAGAAAACAGGGTGGTGAAGATCAAGGCTGTGAAAAGTCCGGGCGAGATATACGAGGAAGTGAAGATGAGGATGGGAGAGAGAGGCTTCGAGATGGCTGTGAAATAGAAGAGCATCATCGCGGAGGGAGAAAAGCTCGGTGTCAGGCTTCATCCTTGCTCCTGCCTTGGAGCTGCATCGATGCATGTTCCTATTATCCATCAAAGCTGTGGTCATAGACGATCTCTCGACATGTTGAAGCGTTATCCCCGGATGCACGAGAATACCATCCCTTCTTTGCTCGCTGCTGCTCTTCTGGCCTCTACCGACAATGGAAGGCAGGTCTATGACAGTGAAATAAGCTGGTCAAGCCTTGAGGCACAGAAGATGTAACCTTTTTCTCGCTTTCGGTGCCTGCTGTTGTACCATATTGACGCACACGACTGTCCCAAATAGTTGCAATGGTGGTTTGCTCCAAGTGTTATGCAGGCTGCCGCGGAGGGAAAATGTCAGTCTTGTTTGATGATGGCTTGGGCATTCATGAGTCTCAGCATTCATCACCGGCAATGAATACAGCAGACTTTATCCTCCATGCTTCACCATATACTGATACGTTAGTGTTCCTCTAAGAACGAATAGCTTAGCAACCATTCTGGCGAGTTGGATGATACAAGGCGAGGTTGGCGCGATCTATTGAATTTTTAATTGCCTGGCTTCTTCTATTGACAAAATGAAAAGGAAAAGGAAAAGGAAATCGACATGGAAATGGAAGTGGAAATGGAAATGGAAAAGGAGATGAAATGGAAAGAAATGGAAATGAAATGGAAATGAAATGAAATGAAATGAAAAGGAAAAGGAAAAGGAAAAGGAAAAGGAAAAGTGAATACGTCGGAGATTTTCCTATCTTCCTATTCTTTCCTATTTTCTCATTCTCCTTCTACCTTATTAGAGTAAGGCATACCTTATTGTTCAAAATCAAGTCCCTTCACGCTCACACGCTAAGCTAATAAGGAGATCTTCCCTTCCCTGCTTGCCTCATGTCCTTCACCTCTCACCTTCTCTCCCCCCTCCCTCCCTCTCTCTTATTATCCTGCACAACCTACTTTTCCACAACTACCTTCGACCTTCCGCTTTCAAAGGCCGCATGCTATGAATAAGCATAAGTCTTCACAGTGACTCTCAAAAAGGAGCTTCTTATCCATTCACAATCCGCCAATCGACTGTCTAGTAGTCCTTCCACTTTTCCAACCTTCAAAGACATCTCCACCAAACAGACACACAAGGTCACCGTCTCATTCATATTTGCAGGCGACTGCAACCTCTATCATTGAGCATCAATCACACGTCCTGCCTGCTACAACCGCCACATTCTTCACGCTCTCCTCACCTGTGCTTACCCAGCCTCTCTTCTTTCACAGCTGAAATCAACATCAACCGAAGCCCCATTCTTCCACTTGACGCGTCCACTTCTCAACGAGGCCGTGATCCACCTTACACGTCATGGCAAACAGGAAGTCGACGCCAGCCCGGGCTGCTAAAAAGGGCCTTATGGGTAAGAAAGCTGAGATCTACAAATTGATCGAAGAGGCAAACAGGAAGAAATCTCTTTCTGGCACCAAGCTGCCACCTGGCACGGCGAGCGTCCGTCTTCCACCGCTGCAGCCCAGCAGCCGAGACAATCCACGTAGGCCGCTTTGTCGACAACCTAAAAAGATCGTCCCAGGCCTGATACAAGATCAGAAACCCGTTCTTTTGGAATCAGAACACCTACATCATCCCGGGAAACCACTCGTATGTCTCCCTCGTGAGCCCGATACGAAACGTGCGCTGAGATACGCGCCAAAGGGTCATTTTCCATTCCTCGAACTTCCTGGAGAGCTCCGAAACAAGATTTATGAATACGGAATCGTAAAGCAGTACTACGAGATCGGATGGGTTGACAACAACCACAAGAGCAAAAGTCTGACCTATCGGCTACCCAAGCTAGGCAGAGCATATGGACCTCGCCTTGAATCGGGTGCAGCCAGACGCCGTCGTCAGCTGGACTATTCCCGGCGTGTACCTAGTCAGAAACGATTGGTGGAGGGTTCCATCTATCCCGGCCCTGCTGCTCTCCTCGTCGTCTGCAGTAAAATGCATAAGGAGGCATGCTCAGTCTTCTACTCAAAGTCGACCTTCACCTTCCATGGCCTGGGCGCCCTTCGTCATTTCTTGAATAACCTCTCCCCAACTGCGACGGAAGCCTTGACGCGACTTGGAATCAAGCATCGTGCCTACGGCGAACCGAACCGCACTGAAGATCAGATGTGGAAAGCCAAGCACGACCGGCTATGGGAAGACTTGTGCTGGCGCATCGCAGACCAGTGCAGTTCATTGACTCGTCTCTCACTCGATCTCACGCTGAACAAGTCACCGCTTTGGTTCGCGCCGTTCGATCTCGCAGACAAGGCAGGAATTGGTGCTCAGTGGATCAAACCCTTATGGGGCTTTCAAGATGTGGGGATCCAACGGTGCTGGGTGCGTCTGCACTGCTTGAGCAAAGACAGCTCGATCCTGGAGGTTGAGAGTTGGAAGGTGAGAAAGGAGATACTCGGAGCTCTATGGGACGAAGAGGCGGAGGCGCAACGTGATGCCTACGGGTTCGAAAAGCGCCAAAGTGGCGCAAAGGAAGTCCAGAAAGGCATGGTGCTTAGACTTCGGGTCGATGGAGGCCTGGAAGTTGCTTGAGGGGTATAGGAGACAGCGAGGTCATGGTCGTAGACGGTGGTTTGCCTTTGCTCGGGGGTTTTAGAGGGGAGTTCGGTAGGAAAGGTTTGGTCTATTCCAAGGCCTCTGTTCCCCCGGACAATGTCCGCAGGATAGCTTCAACGGGGACAAAGGTGGTCCGAATGATCTCAATTGGAAGCCAGGAGGGAAAAGGCAAGGCCGGTTGGACAGGTCATACGATTGCTTTCCTCTCTTCACTCAGCAGCATGCACAACATCATTTAACACGGACACTGACTACCATCAAAACAATTACATTGGTTTCTTTAGCTAAAAAAAGATTAATTGGGAGCCGGCCAGCAAGTTCCCAGATCAGTGATCATCATTCATTTCCCCCACCGGCTCTGCCGTGCAGTGCTTCTACACGCTGAGCATCTTGACTAGCCCTATGTACAGGCTGTGGTGGCCTATGGACACAGTAGCAACAGACTGGCAGATGGTAACGTTATTCTAGGCAATGGATTATCAGCCATGGCAATGGATTATCAGCCATGTGATTCAGCACTTTTTTTGTTGAAATATCTCTGGGAAGAATTTCAGAGAGGACTGTTGCATGAAATATCACTACAGTAGTGTCTCATGCACTACCTCCATACCTTCCGATGAAAGATAAGAAGATAACGCGTAAGCGTGAGGCCATTCCGCGTGGGTATATGGAAGCAAAAACTAGGGGTATCCGAGGCGAGCACCGAAGAGATATGATGGGGAACTGGACACATCCCTAAACCCAAACGCCTTTTCCCACACAGTCAAGATTCGGCTTCCGAGATTGTCGAGATAGGCCTCAGGGTCGCAGCCAGGGCGCCAACACTGGGCACCGCACTCAAGCTCTCCTTTCTCCGTTCTTGCAGAGGTCTCACCATCCCATTAGCCCCAATGACCAATCCACCTGTCTGGACTCGATCGTTAATCATGCTATCGAGAATCTTTGTCATCTCGTCTATACTCTTTCTCTTCATCGCCTTTTCCTTTTCTTTGTACTGTACGGGGCTGGTAGGTGAGAGCAGCTGTACGGGGCTGACGGGGGACGTCAAGGAGATTCCATTGCCGCCGCTATTAACACTGCCACCGCTATCTTTGCTCTCGTTGCTTTGATGATAGCTTTCCTTGCGGATTTCGGGTGACAGAGGTTCAGATACGAAATCTGCAGTATCACGATGGCGAGCTGCAGATCGAAGAGCATTGACCATGCGGTCTTTGTCATCTAGTCGTGCACGCAAGTCGGCAATCTCGGCATCTTTTTCTCGTATGATTTCTCTTGTGCTAGCATTTTCTTCGATCATGCCATGTTTCTTTTGCGAGGTTGGCGAACCCAGAGCGGATGATTTGGAGTGACTCGATCGCCGGGCTTGCAGCAAGCGCTTCTCCAAAGTCGAAACGTACCTGTTCTTATCGGCCAAGTCCGCTTGAAGGGCGCGGATATGTGCATTCGATGTTGCAGTACCATCTCCAAATTCGCCTGCCAAATCTTCTTCGTTGCCCAGCGAAGATACAGGCGAGTATTGCTCCTCACTTCCTTTCCCAGCTGCTGTGATGGTAGATCCAGCGGACACTGTCCGTTTCAGTGACGGTGCAGCTCCTCCGAGCGTCGATTGGCTTCCTGACGGTCGCAGAGACCGCAATGTCTTCGTGGAGATTTCACTCCTGTGGTTCGAAGAAAGTGATGGATGCATGCTCAGGGATGACATCTTGCCATTTGTGTTGACACCGGACGATTTGGAAGACAATATCAAGCGATTGAGATGCTCGATGCGGTCGTTCAAAGCCGTTCTTGCGAGTTGCATCTCGAGCATCTGCTCCTCACGTCTCTGTTCTGCTTCTCTCTCGAACTGCTTCTCTTCAAAGTCAAATGGTCTTTCCTCCCTGCCTTCCTGGGCCTTTTTCTGGCTGTCGAGTTCGTTCCGTAAGCTCTGTATTTCCATTCGATATCGCTCGAGGAGAACCCTGCTTCCTGCATCCGTACCGCTGCCAAGAGCTTCCTCTGCTTTCTTTGCATGGCTGACTATGTTGTTTTTCGCTCTTGCCGCAAATTTCAGAGTGTTCAGGGTCTCACTAGTATGTCCATTGGCTGTGGTCACACTCCCAAATGACCCGAGCTGAATCGTGCAGAGAATGCTGACCAATGAGTTTCCTGACAAGGCTGGCTGCAGCAGTCGAGTTAGTTTGCTGTCTCGATACGGCAAGTGTTTGCCATCTTTATCGGTTGGATTGCCGTTGGAGTCTTTATCACCCGAAAGCCTTGCAATGACGGTGCCGAGGGTCAGCAGACTCTTGTTGATGTGGGCACCCTCAGTTCTTCGCTCCTTGTTTTCTGCTGCCCTCTCGGAGCCAGCCAAATCAATCATGCTCAGTGTGGATACCCGAACCCCCCCAGGCATGAGAGGGGCTCGTTTGTCGTTCACGTCTCTCCCGCCGTACGGCGCACGCTCCCGACTCTCAACAACAATTTGAACCACAGCATGACTACGGGAGCTTTGAGCGTTGTATTGGGTGCTTCTAGTCCTCCTGGACTGATCGCCTCGAGCAATTACTCGAAGCAACTGAGTCGGACTCTGCACGATCTCTTCTTTCAACGGACTGGCAAAAACCCCTCGTTTTGGGTCCTCACGAAGTTTGATCTCTTCTGGCTGTGGCGATCCAGGTCCAATGCCGGCTTCCGTCGGCGGCTTCAACAGATCATGAATCCTCTCGTTATAGATTTCTAGGTAGCTAACTCGTAGCAAAAATTCCCGATGCGGTGTTTCGCGAATGAAAGAAAATATGTCGGTTATAGCTAGTGGTATCACTCCTGGTGATGTTGCGGTTCCTTGCATGGAGAAGGTTTTGCCAGTCCCCGTCATACCGTAAGCAAACACTGTTCCATGGTAGCCCTCCATTACACGGCGTACAAGCCGTTTCGCTGACGCATCATAAACTTTGTGATTTTGATCATAAGGCGCGAACACATTATCTACTTCGACGTAAGCAGCGGTCTCGAACACTGTCAATTAACCCAACCAAGTGATCTTCAGGTACAAAGGGACAATTGATCTCTGCTCCGAAATTGGCGATTGCCAGTGCGATATCCTAACGGCACTGCCTGAAAAGTTGGGATTGATAGTAGTGCAATGAACTTCCACTGGCTTACCATAGTAATAATCCCCACCCTCTCTTCCCCTGTAGGCCACGAGAGACTGCCGGCTATCCACCATCCAATCCTTGCCTGACGACTTTTCCGCACCTGCATCGGGTCGTACACGCACGCTAACAATCACATTGCCCTTCCCCTCATATTCTCTTCGGCCAGAATCCCTTCTCTTACTTCCATCCTCTTTGTTGACGTGACTTTCTTCTCTGGCCCTCTTGTCATCCGTGTCTTCAAACGTTGTTGCTGAAGTAGAGTAAGACCCTTGAGCAGAAGAAGTTCGGCTGTGTGGCGGTGACCGCAGACTGACGAGATCATTTGACACTCTTGGTTCTGAAGTACTGGATATTGCTTTACCATCGCCACTTCCGTCCAGAAGAGTAGGGGTTGGCCCTCCGCTGTACATTTGACTAAGCCCATCTGTTGACGCCTTTGTTTTTAGTCTTTTGATCCTCAAGCTACCGGGCGGCGTACCACCTCCGTCTTTGCTTTGTGCGGTTGCTTCGGATATCAAGGAATGCGTGGCCGTTGAGTATTTGCTGTCGAGACCAGTCCTCCTGACTTTGGGAGGTTGGGGAAAATTCGCAATACTGACAGAGCGTCGAATCTCTTTGTCTGTCGACGAACCTTCCACTTGGCTGTGAGCCTGGCTGGCGGGATCGGACCGTAGAGTTGGTGTTTTCGGGCTAGAGGGCGCGTGACTGGTGCTTGGGGAGGTAGATGATTTGACGAGCTTCGAAGGGTTCTTGAGAGCGAGTGTAGAGGCCGTTGGAGGGGCAACTTGTTCTCGAGAGGACTCAGACACAGTCACAGGGGTTCGTAACCTGGAGACTGGCAATTGAGGAAGAGCAGAGGTTGGTGGAGGGAGATTAGGTCGGGTCATGTTGACCTCCATGTGTGGAAGTTGCGAACAACTGTGTATTCTCTCGGCAGAGGGGACAAAGCGAACGAGAGAGCGCAGACTCCTGGATGATGGGCTATTTGTGAGGAGTTGTCAATCCATGGCCAGCTGCTCATCCTCGTCAGCTGAAGAGGGTTTAGTCGAGGAATTGTAGTGCTGTCGCGGTGACCAATTGTTCGAGGACAGACGGCTAGGGATGGTAGACGTACTTTTATTCGTCCTGTGTCGCCAGGGGGACTTGGCAGCAGCAATTGCGAAGGATGTATGGTACAGCGACTGGAGAGAAGAATGTACGCGACCTGGCTTCACAGCATTGAAGATGAGTACAGTAAGAGAGGTTGAAGGCAAACCAGCAAAGTAGGGGTTTTCCAAAGTGTACGTCCCCAAATCCTTTTAAATTTGAGACCCCGCGATGTTTCAGAGATGGCAGCATTCCTCCCGACGTTCAATATTTTGTTGAAGCAAAAGAGAGTAGGGTTGGGGGGGGGGGAGGGTAAGGTAGAGGGACACTTCACACTCACAGCGTACCTATTTGCCTAAGATGATAATCTAATAATCTAATAATCTATAAAGTAACTTACTTACAAACGGACTTCAAAATCAATAGAATTATCATACATATGTACCCTCCAGTTAGGTACCTACAATAATCTTGACCAGGGTCCACTGCAGCAGCAACGCTCCCCCCGCGCTCCACCTGCTCTGCGCTACGCAACCTTACTCGCAACGGGGAAAGGGGCACAGGGGCTTGATTCGCTCAAGGCAGAAGCATCACATCACACTATCACACCATGCAGTTGCTGCAGAAAATCAATGGCCAACATAATAACGACTGCTTGCCACCGTCACACCAGTCACGGCAAATGTGCATCACAACCCCCCTTGAACGGACGTTGTCCTTTGCTGTACTCCGCAGTATTAAGGTATTGAGGTATTGAAGTATTGAGAAGGATGATACTCATCCGACATCGAGGACAACCTTGGTCTTCCTCACCCGAGCATTTCTCATGAAATCCCAGAGTATCATGAATGCAATGCCTTCTTTGCCAGCCTTGGACTTGCGCAGGACGAAGGAAGAAATGAGAACGAATATAGTTGGTGCCCGTAGTGGATTACGCTTGCTTTCGAAGATCTTGCCCATTTTTCTTTCTCCCTTCTAACGCCTTTGGAAACAATCCTCGGTACTTTCGTGAAATCGGCCTTCTGAACAACTAAACTGCCTGAGATGACGGCGTTGCATTTCGTGGTCTGGGCTTGTCTTCGATAGCAATCTTCAACGACATCCAGCGATGAAAGTTTACGACGTGCTGAGTAACCTCGGTCAAGCATTTGAACGGAATAAGCTGCCATTTTCTAAGCTTGTAGTTCCTGGTTGAGCGTATCTCGATTTAACAGGCTCAAAGGCAAGAACAGGTCCGGCGAAAGGCATGATGATGGAGAGCCTGAAGCTGTGCGTAGAGAGTAACGGATAGTGATCTAACTATGACTTGGCCACACCAAAGTTAAGCTTCCTCGCCACTCTATCACCGCGACCGTCTTCAATCTCACCTCCTCTCCTCTTCAGATCCTCGCCCATCCTTTCCGGTCCCCCACCCTTCTTCGGCAGATCCTCTTTCGCAGTGGGTCGTGGTTCGCTCGACCACCACTTATGCTCAAGCATCTCACGGGACGTGCACCGTTTCCGAGGATCCAAGGCAAGCATAGACATCAACAAATCAACTCCCACAGGCCCTGCCGTGCCAAATTTAGACAAATAGAAGTCCTTCCCGCGCACTGGTATTGTTGCAGCTTTATCGTATTTCAAATAGCCTTCGAGCTTGGACACACCCGGCCAATTCTCCTCTGTCGGAGTGCCAATTGCGTTGCATATTAATTCAAGCTGGTGCATGTCGGTGTTCCCTGCAACGAAAGGGAAGCGTAATATGAGTTCAGCGAAGACTGTTCCCATCGACCACACATCGACTGCACCAGAGTAGAACCTTGCCCCAAAGAGTAGCTCTGGAGGTCGGTACCATCGTGTGATGACCTGGTAAGTCATAGGCCGGTAAGGGTCAGAGAATGACCTTGCCAGTCCGAAATCAGCAAGCTTGACTTCTCCGTCTGCTGCTATAAGAAGATTGTTGGGCTTTATATCGCGATGTAGCACGAAATTCTCATGGCAAAACCACACAGCACGACCTAGCATGCCCATCCAAGCTTTGACCTCAGCCGTACCGTAGCGGATACCCTCACTGTCTTTAATGAGCATTTCAAGATCTCCCAAGGGTAGATACTCAAGTACCAGGTTGAGGTTTTGATTTTTGGAGGAGAAGACAGCATGCAGTGCAATGATGTTTGGATGTGAAAGCTCTTGAAGATACTTGACTTCTCTGATAGCGTCCATAGATAAGCCATCGCGATACTCGGTGTTGACCTTGATCTTCTTGATTGCCAATAGGGACGAGGGGTCTGCTTTCAGGTGTCCCAAATAAACTATGGCGTAAGTGCCTTCTCCAAGCTTCTTGTCCTTGACGTATTTTTGTTTGGTTTCATCGTTCAGTCTTTCTGCTAATTCCTGCCCTCTTCCTGGCTCAGAAGTAGAACCATTCTGAGGCTTCGAGATGGAGTTGGTGCGAACAGCTAAAGATTTGGCTTTGGTGGCAGTGACCTTGATGTTGGATGTACTATCATATGTGACTACGGGCGACATTGCCATAGCTGCTTTTGGAGGGAGGCTTGAGATCACACTCTCTCAAAGCCCCGCAAGATCTTCAGAAGGCACAATTGGCATATACTTTGTATCTGCGGTTGACTTTGTAAAAGTAGCAAACCCGCCGACTCATCACTCCAATCATAGAGTGCTGATATGCGCTTTCGCGCTAACGGCAAGTAGTAGAAATATCCTTCCGCTCCTGGCAACCTCAAAGCTCGATTAATCACAACATATAGATACAATTGCGCCTCTTTCCATCATGATCGTCAGAAGCCTGCCATCCCCCTTAATACGATCAACCCTTCAATCCTTTTTCATAAGATCCCAACCTTCGCACTGTCTCCGCCATCTCCACGCTCGAGCCTCCGCTTCTCAACCCCCAACTCCTCAACCCACGCCATTTGTTCCAGACGCCTCCACCTTTCTCAAACTCATTGGCCGTAACCTCTCACAACATGCCGGAAAAATACCCACTTGGCAATCCCTCTTTTCCCTCACGTCAACCCAACTTCGTGAATTAGGCGTTGAGCCAGCTCGAACGCGACGGTACCTGCTCTGGTGGAGGGATAGATTCAGAAAAGGCATCTTCGGCGTGGGTGGAGATCTCAGGCACGTCAAGGATGGGGGGGCAGAACTCCGTGTAGTGGAACTCCCCGTTGCCAAAGCGGCGATTCCAAAATCCAGAAGCACGAGCATAGCAATTGGCCTACAACGAACGAAGAGGATGATCGTCAACGAGCCACCAGAGGTCATAGAGAAGAGCCTATCGTTACAGCAGCTGAAACCAGTGGATGGCATGAAAGTGGTTGGCTTGCGGACGATAGTGGGACCATATGTGCAGCCCGTGAAGGGAACGAGTGGGAGCGTGGCCACCATCAAGGTTCAGGAAGGGATGTGGGAGGTCAGGAGAGGGGTGGAAGGTTGATGGTGGAGAGAGGAGAAAATTACAGGTCAGGCGGAAGAGATTATTGGAGGAGAGGAGAACAAGTAGGAAGTAGTGGGTATAGGAAACACAAGCTGTGATTTTTCTGCTTGTCTGGAAACTTCCCATAATAGAAGGTGCGTGATTATACTTCACGAAGAAGGAAATGCTCTCCGGTTATCGATGGCTCGTGCTATCTATACCCATTTTTACTTGACGTGGTAAACAAATTGTGAGCTCCATGATGTGACTGCACAACACTAGTACTCGTGCACCTAAGCCGTACAAAGAACAATCATGGCATGCTAAATCCAAATGAACCCGCTTGCCATACCGGACATTCTCCCTCATCTGCCATATTCCAAACTAGGCACAATGACAGGCCCATATTTACTCACCCCCACCGCCCCCATCCCCGCTGCATCGGTCTGCACCATGAAATCTACGGCCAAGCTCAACTTCCCAGTCGCTGTGCCATGCATGTTCGTTTGTCCGAAGGTCCCCGTCACAACTTCCGGATCGTAAGCCACAATTGCCACATAATTCCTCCTGCCCATTAGCTTCCTCATATCTCGCTGTCTTCCATCTGGCTCTGCAGCGAATATTTCCATCATGTCCTCCTTTGTATCGCTCGGCGCATTATTCGAGCGGTGTCCGTTCTGTGGGATGTATAGCGGTTTCTGGGAGGCGTGGAGAAGCTTGAGGACGTAAGATGGAGGGGGGTGTTGACGACAGAGGCAGATATGAGTTGGTACATGGTCTTGTGATCAGATGGTTTTGCCGGATCGTGCACAATACCAGCACCGCAGCAATCGACGGCACCTGATAGAAAAGTCATACGAATTGATTTTTGGTGGGATATACTCTGAAGGGTACGAATGAGGTAAGTGCGTTCAAGATCCTGATGGGAGTTAGCATGAGACACTTTCGACGACTGGCGAGTAATCAGGGCTTACCTTGGATTCGTGCGTCCATTGATCGCGCAGTTCATCGAGCATGTCAATGTCGCCGAATGGACTCAATATCCCGCCCATGAGACCAGACTTGCCGACAGCCTTCTTCACAGAGTCAAAGCCAGAGCCGACAACGCCTTTAGCACCCACAACTCCAGCTGCCGAGCTGGTCACTTTACCCAAGAGGTTGTAGGCACCGGTCACGGCTTTCTTACCGGTTGCAACGGTGTGAGCAATCTGCTCAGCCGCTTCCAGTCTTGGATACACGATTGGTACCGAAATCATCCAGATGCAATGTTGCACACTAGGCGGTAGCATTGCGACTTTCGGGAAGAGGCCCTGGTACGTTGGACCAGCCATTACCTGATGGGGATTCCTCTCAGATCGGCAGTCCGGACCCACGACGACGACTGCAGGCCCAAGGTACTTCACGAAATGCCAACCAGTGCCAGTAATGGTGAAGATATCGGTGTCCGTACTCACGTTGCGGAGAATCTCCAGAGTGGTGTGGTGCTGGAAAAGCAAGTACATTTCTATGCCGACTCGGCCAATATTCTTAAACATGTTAGAAAATTGCATGTATTCAGGGTATGATCCGAAACCGTCGAAACTGCAAGCTTTTAGTCTTCATGCCGACTTTCGCTCACGGCGAGTTTGAGAACCTACATGTCATGATCATCAATCTGCAAAACGTGCGGTATTTGCGCAAAAGCTTCTCGCAAGTATGGCTGGTCGAAATGACTGGTATAATAATGGAAATACGCATGTGAGACATCTTCTTCGTGCTTGGCCGTCCACTGAGCGTTCTTTCTATTCTCTTTGCCACTCATTGCTAGCCATTGCTTCAGTAAAGGAATCTCCTTCCATATTCTATCGGCATATATCTGATCGCCCAAGCCAAGCTGCGTATGGAAACCACCGCACTCGACGTGTTTTTGCATTATGTCCTTCCACATATGACCGATGCCACCCACACGAGCTCGCTCATTGGTATTGACATTGAGCGAGAAGTCGTTGCCAGAAGTCGCAATGAATCGCCAGTTCGTCTCATTACGGCCCGCAACTAAGAATTCATATCTTGTGCAGCCAAGATGAGAAGTTATGGCATAGGTCCATTTTGCACTAGTATGCTCCTCCATCTGTAGATCTACATCATACCGATAGAAAGTCCAGCGCTGATGAACGGAGATTTGACTGGCTTTCAGTTGGCGGGGGTTTGGAGAGAGATCTACGCTTTGGTGGATATGTATAGTGGGAGGTTGAGGAGCGTCGGTGATGAGCAATATTGACCCCAGCCAAATGCCCCTCTGTAGATCCATATTGGTATACCTTAGGTAAGGCCCGAAGTAAACTCCATTAGTAGGCGCAATCCTGTACATATCCACGCCTGCACTTGGTGGAGGTCCGGAAAAGCCTGCTACGGTAGGAGTTGAGGACTGCATGCTCATGATACTATCTTGATAACCTGGTGTGGATGGCTGAAATCCTGGAGATGCCAATGGCTTACCACTGAACGCACTAAGGCCTGGAGATGCAAGCGCATTTCCAAAGTTGACACTACCGGTTGGTGACAGGGGCTCATTGAGATTGAGAGGTGTTGGCCCCTTGGGAAACTCCCACTGTGTAGATTGGGTAGGTAGATGAATGTAGTAATACTGGCCTGAGTTGGGATCGAGGTGATGGATCCAGCCCTCTGGAAGAGGTGGAGGTGAAGCAGGCCCAGGACCAGCAGGCGCAGGAGATGATTTGGTCGGCACTTGTATAGAGGCTTGAGTGCTTGCTTGTAGTGGCTGTAGCGCCGTTGCCACTTGAGGTCTAGGAGAATCATGGGCGAATGCTGGGTGGCCTTGATTGCCGGACTCTGCTCGAGAGTTCACCGCCGCAGCCGCTCCTGCTGCACCTCCAACAGTCGCTCCCGCGGCGTCACCTCCAACTGCTTGAGAATGTTTCTCGTTGGGATAACCTTGTGTCCCAGTGGCGGAGGATCCAGCTGGCGAGTAAGCGGGTGGAGGAGACGATGTGACATGCATTCGTTGAAAATCTTGTTCCAGAGCTGCTGAGGCGGTAGTCCTTCCCACTTGTGAGGATGGAGAAGTAACTTGCCCTTGAGGGATCGGCGATTGTACGGGAGGTGAGCCAGAGGCCTGGCCGGGGCCTTGGTATACCGTCGGAGGCCCATGAGGCTGACTTCCAGGCTGCTCTGTAGGTGTCCAAGGCCTTCTCGTCTGGTCTGGCTGCTGCAGTGCTGCCGACTCTTGCGCTCTCGCAGGCTGGGGGTACTGGGCTGCTCTGTGTGCGGCAGCTGCATTCTGAGCTTGCAGGCTTGTCAATGTGGATGTACCTGCGATGCCTGCCGCAGCGTAGCGCGCTTCTATACCCCCTCCCAGCGGGTCCCCTGGTGGTAGTATCGGGGTTTCGGGGGGAGGTGGAGAGCCACGCTGAGCTTTTGTAGTCGACGTAGAGGCAGTCGAACTCAGTCTATTCACACCGGCAGGGTTCGGAACATTCAAGCCTCCAGATGGGGCTGAGTCACCAGAAGTAGACCCTCCTGGAGGTGGCCAGTACTGCTGATAGTAATCGGGGTACGGATTGACTTCAGCCTGAGACGGTTTTCGGGCGTCCGCTATTGACGATTCTCTGTCTCTCTGCGGCAGCCTCTGGAAAAGCCCTTCTTTGTCTGGGGCTTCTGGTCCCGGTGAGTCCGGCAATGGCTTCGGTATGTTTGCCCTTCGTTCTGCCAACCTGGAGCTTGACTGGGCATCTCCTCGAGGGCGTAGCGCAGACGGGTATTCAGGCACACCCGGTCTTGCAGGTTCTGCAAAACCCACGCGAGGAGGCGAAGCAGGGTATGCTGGCGAGACTCTGCCCTGTTCGCTTGTTGTTGTCCGACCGTTGGCAGGCCGTGGTTGGAAGCGTTGACGATCATCTGGGTAGGGCAGTGGAGCTGGTGAGCTCGATGCGCCGGGAGGAAGAGCAAAGGCAGCGGAGTGTATGTGAGGTGGATGTTGATTGTCGGATTCTGGGGAGCATGAGTCGCGTTTGTATATCCTTAATGGTTCGATAGTTGGCGAATCTTCGGCCAAAGGTCTCTGAAGAAACATTTCATCGCCGGGCTTGCCATGACGTACGCCGCTGGAGCTCATGCTTTAGTGCTTGAGTGAGCTCGCACAATCGGTCGGCCTAAGGAAATGAGGGTATAAATAGCCTTGTCGAAGAATTGATGTCAAGCAGGCCAGTCTGGGTGATTGCTACGCACGAGTGATATGTGGAAATTAGGTGAAGCGGCAGGGACTGTTGATATCATGCCTTCATTCGTCACGGTCGTCACGGTCGTCACGGTCGTAATACTTACTTATGTACGGAGTACGGAGGTAGTGTTCTGCAAAGAACAAGGATCTCGTGCTGTAGCCGCCACGCTACCTAATCAGAGGGGGGCTGGTCTAAGCCGACGAATCAGAATCTAAGCGCCCAGGCTTGTAGACCAACGAAATAGGTACTTGCGAATCTTGGGTGTCGGAGTACTTTTCCTTTCCTAGGTATTCCTTTCTTTTACTGTTTCACGACGGAGCCAGACTGGAAAACTGGCTTGCGATGTGTAGTCGCTGCCTCCACGGGCTTCAATACGAAAATTAAGCAAGTATTTGTTTGCCAGAGCCGTCTATCGATTAATAAACAAGGTACCGCTACTTTGTACGCCCAACCGACACGATAGGACTCAAATTCCTTCAACGAGTCTCCATTACGTACAATTTTGCGCGTCTGGCTGGAGATGGTCAACGTCTGTCGAGTAGGAGTAGGAGTAAAGTACCACTCGAGGGCAACTTCCCCCCCCAGCTCTTACGAGCGAGTGATTTATTTTGGTAACGGGTTCGGGCCGCCGCTTCCCGAGGATAGAAAATGCATCATTTGCTCATCGACTTCCGCGACTGTTTGACATTCATCGCAAGTTAAAGTACGTCATCACTACACTCGCTCAAAGTTCAATCATTAATTATATGTCGTAACGGTGTATCAACATTCCTCTTTGCTTGTCATTATTACTGCTGAATATCAGTTCATTCTATACGTTGCTTTGACTCTGCCTTGTTCACTATCTAGAAGCAACAGCGCTCCTGAATCCAACAATGGCGCCATTAGGCAATCTTGTACGTCTACTTCCACTGCACATCAACGAATTACCGGCCCACCCTGCGCTCGAATCTCTGGTCATCCCTCATTCAGAACACACCAGGTCTGCCGAGAGCAGTCCATCACAAGCTGGCAAAGTCGACTCAAGCGAACGTCCCAATCTCATATCATTCATGGAGGAAGTCTTCGACCAGGCTACAATATTCGTGGATGATACTCTTCCGGCCACGTTCAAAGAAGGCAATTTGAAAAAGTCTGCTCCAGCCACAGCCAAGGTTAGACTGTTGAGTCGAAATATTTCGGAGGCAGAGATTCAGGCTATTCCCTGGATTAATTCCAGTAGGTACATCCCGAAGGAACTTCTGGCCTATTTCGAATCACGACACAGTGCATCAAGAGCGAACCTCTCTTTGTCTACCAAGACCTATCTCTTCCCTCGCTTTCCCTCGAAGGAGCTATATTGACTCCGGACTCTACGTAGGTATTCCGCGAAATTGGTCCAATGGGAGGAAACCTGCCGAAGCTTGGTTTGCCAGGAGGAGTCGCCATGCCAATCACAGCGACGAAGGAACTGCAGACCTCGACGAGTTCGACTTCGGCTTACGGCATGACCATTCGAAGCATGAGCAGTAGGACTTCCCCAGCCCCAAATTCCTCTTCTTCGGACGATATCGGTAATCTCATCTCATACTTGAGACGCCTGTTTTGTGACTCCACTTCCCGTATGGAGAGATTAACTGCTGACTGGACAACCACACTAGAGAGTATACGCCAGATGTCTTCGATTCGTATAAAGTGCTTGATTGGTCCGAGCAAATAGGGTCAGCTATTGCGAATGGGTCAGCTATTGATAATTATAGGGACCTAAGCATGAGCAGTAAGCGTGTTATTTCTACCGACCTTTTTCCTTCACATCGGCCATCTCGAGAATCACAGCGTTTCTCGTTTCAGTTGAAGTGGCAACTCCGAAGAAATTTGGCTGACTATCTTGTCTGCAGTCCACGAAATGTGCCATGAACTACCGGCTATGCTTTCCAACCGCGTCTTTCCAGTCCTTGTCGTCACTGCGAAAAGGGGAAAGCACTCTTTTGTTGTTGTACAGATCCCAGTGGACATCTCGGGTCTAACAGTGGCGATGTACAGCAATGGAAGGAATTTGCGTAAAGGTGACAGCGCAGTGAAGCGGAAGAAGCCGGTTCTTGGGTATGATTGCTAATCCAACATCCCTATGAATAGCCCAATTGCTGACATTCCTTCAGTGTCTATACGAGCATTGAGCGTTGCCAGATGCTCCCGGACCAGAATGTTGAATGGGTCATGGCTACAGCTAGTGACGCAAAAGGCTGGCTACCAATGTGGGCCCAAAAGATGGGGGTTCCTTCCGCTGTTGTCAAGGATGTCGGGCTATTCATTGGCTGGGTGAAGACGCGTAGGCCCCTTTTTCGCAAAGATCCCCCATTTATCGTAAGGCGGGAGGATGGTACGGGTGTGAACGGAGACTAGGGGACCCATAGCTTGTTGACGTTGTATTTCTTGATGTGTTACTGGTGAGGCGTTCACTCGGCCTAGCGCCACATCGGCTTGTACCATATCGAACGACATTACGAAGGGAGGCAGCGCTTGTTGGAGGTTTAGGCCACGAAGATGGCAATATGGAGATGAGGAAGCCCTTGAATACCTCTTTTGCTATGTTGTACAGACTCAATCACTCGACGATTTGCAGCTCTCCGGTTCTCTCCCTGGCAAATTCATCTTTCCACTCCTCCCATATCCTCTCCAACTCCTTAACATATACGTCATGCAGCTCGTCTACATATGTCTCCTCTGGCTTGCTTGCCTGCTGCACCTGATTGGCCTGCCCACCACGACGTTGAGCGGCCGTCGGTAGGGCATCATGCCTACGTCGTAATTGAATACACCTCGCGCATGGAAGAGGGGAACAGTAAAGCCCAAGACTTTCTTAATCACAAGTTGGATTTTGTGAATAAGTGGGTGCTGCTCGGGCTGCACCTGATCATACAACTCATTTTCTAAGTAGATTCTCAAAGTCAGCATTGCCTCACGAAGCTTGATGGGATCTGGAACAATGAGGGATATCTCGAAACTCAAAATCTGGTTCAAGAGAGGAGATCTGGACTTGGGAGATGCGTACCGCCGAAAGCGAGGACGGGCACCAAGTCTGCGCCTGTACGAATGGCAAGCTTGACAAAACCTTTCGGCGCTTGAGCACAAGACGAAGAGAGTGCGGTTGTGCGTCCAAAGATTCCCGAGCACCACCCACGACTATCGTGATGCCCCTCCCCATTCCCTCTCCATTTGCACCACCACGCGAAAGTAGATTCTCGCAAGGGATTCTCGGGATACAGAGGCCAGTCCCATCGATAATGTGTATTCACGGTACCTGCATTTAATAAGTATAAAAATAGTTATTTTCATAGCGCTATAGCGGCCGTAGAGTATTATAATCTTAAACCGCGATAAATATAAAGACGGCTTCGAAGATAAGCTTTTAGAAGTACTTAAATATCTATCTATATACGTCTTATTATAACTTAAAAATAGTCGCTATATAACTATATTAATTATCTAAATAATATTAAGTATTTACTTTAATTAAATTATATTTAGAATACTATTAAATATATTCTAAAAATCGCTTTAAATTTATATTATCCCTCTAAATTACTTAATAAAAATTAAACTATATAATTTATAAAACGATACTTTAAATATTATAAATAAAAGTAAAAATCTCTTAGTATTAAGTGTAAGAATATATATAATATTAAAAGTATACGCGTAGCGTATAAGAAATTTCGATGGAGCTATAAAGAGAAGGGTATATAATATTAGAATATTTGAAATATAAACGAGACTGACTTTCGAATTAGTTATAAAATTATTTATTATATTATTACTTTAAATAAAAGTAAATCTCTATAATTTATAGATTTAGATAATCGTAATTATATTATATTCGTGAAATATATTAGCGCCGTAGACTAAAGTATATCTTTATTTATAATTCTAAAAGATACTTATATTCTATATAAATGAAGTAAAAACGACTTATCTTCGAATACTATATTAATTATTTTATTTACTAAATATTTAAATAATCGATTAGTATATAACTAACTACTACATTTTAATATATTTTCTTATTATCATTAAGTGAAAGAATAAAGAATCTTAATTCTAAACGGCTTCGAATTCTACTACACCTACGAATTTTATATATTTATCTAATAATTGAAGATCGACTTATTTATATTTTTTAATATTTTATATATATTATATAGCTATTAGATATAAGATACTTTTAACTATTTAAATATTATTATACGAAGGCTATAGATTCGACTATATATCTTAAGAGTAGCGACTTTAATAGATTTAACTTTCTCGTAATATTCAATTAAATAAAAACTTAAACCTTTACGCCTAGTACTATATATTCGACCTTTTAAAAGATTAATTTCGTATTCTATAACTCTAAAGTAATATTTAAAAAAATTAGAAATCTAATACCTCGCGCTATAACTTTAAATAAGTTTATATCTCTTATACTTACTAGAATTCTCTATAAAGTCGAAGATATTATTAAATACGATTAATAATTTAAAGAACTACTTATTACTTAGACTTTTATTATTTTAAAGAGTATACGATAGCTATTAGCTCGATTTATAAAAGAATCTATTACTAATAACTACTTAAGATAAATTATCGAGCGAGATATTAAGGCTATTTATAAAGAGGCCGTAGTTAAGCGAGTATATAAGATACTTTCTAGAATAATTATTTAGAAGAGAGAATAGATATTAGTAGATTAAATATATAAATCTCTAATTATAATAAAAGAAATAGCTAT